TATATATATATATATATATATATATATATATAATATTGTGAAATATTTTTACATATTTTTAGTTTTTTGTAACTGTGTAAAAGTCTTTACTGTCACTTTCGGTCAATTTAATATGTCCTTTCTGAATAAAAGTATTAATTTAATGCTTTCTTTACTAAAAAAAGAAAAAGAAAAAAAGAAAAAGTAGTAGGCCTACATGAAAATATGGCAATAAATCAACCAGGCTACATCAGCGAAAGTAATTTTAAGGGTCAGATCAGACTGGATTCTCTCCTCAAGGTGCCACCTGCACCGTTTCACTTTCCATATTCGGGTAAATATTCCTAGTATATTCCTTGTAGTTGAAATCACAGGGCCAAACTCGCGCTGTTTCTCCAGCTCATCATAGTGTGTTTGTGGTCCGATAGAGACGTGATTACCCGTAGAGGGACTTGAGAGGCACGAGGGGAGTGTTTGTGCAGCCAGAGGGGTTTATCAGCTCCAAACACTTGCAGGATTTCCGCTTTGGGATTGTCCGTCCAATTCCTGAGTTCCACAGGAAGCGCGGAATAAAAAGCAGGAGAAAAACGCCCAAAAGCATCTCATTCCTCGCCAGTCGGACCACGGGGAGCATCGAGACTTTGAGCGCACGGTGCTCTTTATCAGAGAGAAGAAGAGTTTATAAGAAATGGTGGCGATGGAGAAGAGCATCAGAGCTCGCGACAGGTGGATCAAATGGCCTCGAGCTCAGCGCGACATCACGTGATCTTCATTAACGGTGAGTGTGTCAGCAGCATGTGTTTATATTGGTATGGGGTTTTTCTTTGATTACAGTTTCGGTACGCCATTGAAAAATTAATACATAAATACATGGAGTAGTTCATATACAATCCAATATGAGTGTTATATGAAATCAAAGTTTCATGACGTTAAGTTTCATAACAAGCCTATTTAAACGGACGATGTCAAATTTATGTGCAATGTGTTCTTTTTTTTAAACACTTAAAAAATACATTAAAATGCTTAAATACATTTCGTTAAATAAAAAACAATACATAAAAAAACGTATGGAAATTAATTGTATATAGGCTAATAATTAAATAAATAAATATAGAAAAATGGTTTATCAAAATTTTATGTTCGTTTTTAGTGTGATTTTTTGGGAAGCCTTTTAAAGCTTTTTTTCAATGTTTTATAATTTATAAAATTCACACACACACACACACACACAAATATATCAACTTTTTTTTATCTTAAAGACATGCGTAGGCATTTTAGGCAATTCGTATTTGTCTACAAACCTAATTTCAAGCATTTAACTATTCATAAATTCAGTCATGTGTTTCTAAACGTTTGACTGGTTGTGTAGGCTATATAAGTGGGCTTTGGTATTCCTTTATTGAGTTGGCATGTTTTGTTTTTTTTAACTACTGTATTTTGGCCAAAAAGGGTAAAAGCTTAATTGCTTTTCTCCTTTGTTCTGTTTTCTTTCACTTTTCCCTTTATTTCTCGGTGTGTGACCCGGTAAACTGAGCTGCTGCGGGTGAATTCCAGCAGCGCTGACGTCACGCGGCGCGAGGGTCTCCCGTGAGCTCTTGCGTGAGTGTTTCTCCCGGGACGTCCCGGTGAAGAAGGAGGGGCAGTAGTGGTGTGGTTACCCCCCTGCACGCTTTGACAGTTGTGAGAGAACTGAGTGTGCAAAAACCTCCTAAACACGGAGAGCCGAGCCACGGGAGGCGCGTGCAGGAACTGCGAGTCTCGTGCCAGTGCGCGTTTGGGCACATGAGTGTTTTTGGACTATTTATAAGATTATTCCAGCCCCGTCCTCTGAGTTTGGTGGGAAACTTAGTTTTTGGGACGCGCCGGGGGACCAGTCTCTTTCTTTTCCCTTTTACATCCACGCACGAGCGGTTCATCTCGTGGACAGGAGTGATCCAGTGAGTCATTGTACACATATTTTTATTTTAAATCGTTTATGTAAATTCATGCATGCATCATGCACTTCATTATTATTTATTTGCGCATGCATCAGATTAGTACAGGTCATTATGTGTGTGTGTGTGTGTGTGTGTGTTACTATAACTAGATTAGACTGAACTGGATCAACACTGGAATCTGTGAATGGTCGCATATAAAGTTGTAGAGAAACAGCGCCGCCTGCTGGTCATTTACCGTTAAAGCGGAGAGACTGCATACTATACTTACAAACCACGATCAGAATTAAGTACCACTCTAACTATTTGAATAATGCAGCATGACAAGACAGTGTGCAACCAAAATGCACACTGCAGAATACTGTATCCGCACAATGCAGTGTGCTCGATCTTCCGTTAGACTGAACTGGATCAACACTGGAATCTGTGAATGGTCGCATATAAAGTTGTAGAGAAACAGCGCCGCCTGCTGGTCATTTACCGTTAAAGCGGAGAGACTGCATACTATACTTACAAACCACGATCAGAATTAAATACCACTCTTAACTATTTGAATAATGCAGCATGACAAGACAGTGTGCAACCAAAATGCAGAATACTGTATCCGCACAATGCAGTGTGCTCGATCTTCCGTTTCCAGTGTGATGAATTGCTTTTTGAAACAATTAAGCAAACTACTATTACAAATGCATATTGCATGATATATTGCATTTTGTTTCACATACGACTTTTTAAGAAATAATATGCAGTATATGCTGCACACTATGCAGTATGCTAGTATTCCATTCCAGATATAAGCACACACACTAACCGCTGGCCCTCCATTAGCCTCAACTGTTTCCGTGTCTATTTGTGATTATATGCAGTGATGTGGATCTAAATGCCGGTGTGTGTTGACATACAGAGTTTTTCATTTATTTTGAGATGTTTTTGTGGTTTGGCATTTTGTTTAAATGGACACTTTGTAATTATATACACACACATACAGAATTACAGTATATACACAAACATACAGACTGCTACTTTTTTTTATTTTTTTTTACTTTGTTTTGTTTACCATTGCAAAAATCTAAAATAAAAAAATCCTAAATCAAGATGCATTTACTTGAGAATGAAAATGAAATATCAAAACTTAGGTGAATTTACGTTTAAAAGAAGAATAAAATATCTGCAACTTACAGCATTTGTTCTTGTTTTAAGCATAAACTCACTTAATTTTGATACATTTTTCAGAAAACAAGACTTGAGTCATTTTGCTTCTCAAGTAAATGTCTCTTGATTTAAGAATGTTTAGATATTTGTACTGGAAAACAAGACAAAAATACAGAGTGAGAAAATAATTTTTTGCACTGTACACATGTAGCTGTGTGATTGTGATTTAATGATGTTGATGGAAATGCTGGAAGTTTGCACCATTATATATTTTCTTTATTATTCCTTAAAGCAATAGTTCACCCAAAATGGAAGTGTACTCATCTTCAGGCCATCCAAGATGTCTCTTCATCAGAACAGATTTTGAGAAATTGAGCATTACATCACTTGCTCACCAATGGATGCTCTGCAGTGAATGGGTGCCGTCAGAATGAGAGTCCAAACAGCTGATAAAAACATCACAATAATCCACAAGTAATCCACACCACTCCAGTCCATCAGTTAATGTCTTGTGAAGTGAAAAGCTGCATGTTTGTAAGAAACAAATCCATCATTAAGACTTTTTAAAATATGGGTCCTCTAACCATAATATTGCTTCTTTCAGTGAAAAAGTTGTCTCGTCTGGAGTCTGGAGACAGCAGAAAAATGCACAGATCAAGTACTGTTAACAAGTTAAAACAGTCCAAAACAGTTCTAAACAAATATGTCGATTTGAGAGGACAACAGGGGATGGACTTTTTCACTGGTGGAAGCATTATTATAGATTATGGACTCGTATTTTGTCCAGAAGCAACAGTTAAAATGCTTTAATGATAGATTTTTTTCTTACAAACGCAGATTTTCACTTCACAAAACATTAATTGATGGACTGGAGTGGTGTGGATTACTTGTGGATTATTGCAAAGACTACAGAATACCCAAGACGTGTCACTCGTATAGTTTTGAATGGGGAAAAATGCAACGCTCAATATGGCCGCTCTCACTGCAGAGGATCCATTGCTGAGCAAGTGATGTAATGCTACATTTCTCCAAATCTGATGAAGAAACAAACTCATCAAACTCATCTCGGATGGCCTGAGGCTGAGTACATTTTCAGCAAATTTTCATTTTTGGTTGAACTACTCCTTTAACTATTTAAAAGCTAATTATCATCCCTCAACTTTCTTGAGAGACACATTTAGTGTAAATCTATTGGTGTTGCCGCATCACAGAACAATCGCAAGCATATAAAGTTTATTTTCGATGATGCACAATGTGTTAGGCACACCGCTGCTCAGACAGTGTGAGTCAGAGATCTGGCAGCATTTACATACGACACGTGGTAAGTATTTACATATGACGGCGATCAGATGAATTGTGGGAGACGTACACATATACAGCGTCTGTAACTGAAACAGCATGTAGGTACGGACCTGTAGAAACCATTAAGTCTTTGGCTGGAGATCTGTATGAAAGTCATCCAGAAGTCCTAAACCCCTTTACTGCCTCGTGGTGTTGGATGCTCTGCGGTGGGCCGGCCAACTCAAACTGCAGACATGTGAAAACACGATCTGACCCACAATCCTTAGGCTGAGATGACAAACCTCACCAGTGCCGCGAAAAGTGTTGTTATCTTAACAAATCTGCTATTAAACAAACAGACGCACATACAGAAACACTATAAAGCACCTGAGACGAGCAATCACGTTTTCAAATGTTTTGTCTACAAATGAAACATGTGATTCTCTTTTGGAATTTTGTCTCAGAGAATCTTAGATAAGAAGGCAGGATAATTATGCTGCCTTTATGTTAGCATGTTGCTAAACTAATATCAATGCTCAAATTAAAATACATTTAAAAACAGAAATACTGGTTAAATACATTTTTAATTAGATTAAAGTATTAGATACCCTTGTGTAAAAGAAGTACACTTTAGCATACTTTTAAAAAGAGCACTTAATACATTTTAAAAGTATATACTTGTAAACAAAATGTAATGTTTTTAGACATTTACTTGCATGTTATTTGATCAAAAAATGTATATAAAATTTAGTTTTTTAAACTTAAGAGTGCTTTTGACATAAGTAGGACTTAAGTACATATTTTATGTAATTTCATAATTACTTCTACTGTCTTTGAAACATGGTTAAAGTGTACTGTCAAATGTACTGACAAACATTTATCATTTATATCGAAATTTTGTCATGTATTTAATTTTATTTGTAATTACACATTTGCAAAGATGAAGTTGCAATTTAGTACATTTAAAATATATTTTAAAGTAAAACTTAGTGTACTTTAAGTACACTTAAGTGGCGTTTTATTTCAATATATTATATTACCTTCAAGTATAGTATAGTATATAGATTTGAAGTACATTTGAATCTTTTCACTGAGTTTCTTGCAATGCATTGTGGGATTGTATTTAATTCTGCCATAACATTTAGTCAAAATGTATCTTTGAAGTTTGCTGCTTCATTTAAAACAACCTTTACATCGAGAGCAGAGATGTCTTACAAAGCTGTCTATAAAACTAATAGGGTCTTGTTAGTCACATTTGGAAAGTTTTCTAAATTCTAAGAATAAACTCACTAAGTTTTGCTCGCTAACTCGAGCTGTACCTGAGGTAAATCCAAAAACGAAGTGCAGACTTTACCATGCCACACACAGGAAAATCATTAAACACAGAACAGGAGGAAGATGGGTCGTTAATCTCCAGAAAATATGAAACAAGAGCTCATTTAAAGTGCTTCTTACTCAAACACACACACACACACACACACACACACACACACACACAGAGAGAGCTTAA